TTGCCCCGGGGCCCCGAGCCTGCACTGCCAGGCTCGCCCTCCATCCCCAGGCCCGGCCCCTGCCCTTTGTCATCCCCCGCGAGGGCACCCAGGCGCTCGCTGTTCGGGACCACACTGGGCGTGGCCGCAGCCCTCTCTGCCCAGGTGTGTGGCATCTGCTGTCCCCTGGTCAGCTCTCGAGTCTGTCCTGCCTGACTCCCTGGTCATGGGGGCCGCTGGGGCACCCACTTGGCCCCAGGCAGTAAACCGTTCGCCCTGCAGGACGCCAAGCTCCACGCTCCCGCAGCGTGCCCAGTCCTGGGGTGCTGGCAGGATGGCGGTGGCAGCTGGGACGTCCCCTGTGTTTCAGAGCCTTGCCCTCCGAATGCCAGATGCTCCTCTTCTCGGCGACCTTCGAGGACTCGGTGTGGCAGTTCGCGGAGCGGATCGTGCCGGAGCCCAACGTGATCAGGCTGCGCCGGGAGGAGCTGACGCTGAGCAACATCCGCCAGTTCTACGTGCTGTGCCAGGGCCGGCGCGGCAAGTACCAGGCCCTGTGCAACATCTACGGCGCCGTCACTGTCGGCCAGGCCATCATCTTCTGCCAGGTGGCCACCCTCGCCCGGCCCTGCAGCTCAGGGGTGCGGCGAGCCCAGGGATCTCGGATGAGGCCACGGGAAGTGCCGCTGAGGTGCGGGTGTACCCGCGCTGAGACCGGAGCCCCCGTGTGGTTCGTCGTGCACGTCCCCCAGCCTCCCGGGGACCTCGGTGTCAGCGCGGGGCCGGGCTCGCGCTCCGCTGTCTGCAGGTTTTCTCTGTGGACTGCCCTGAGCAAAGATGAGCTGTGATTCGTGGGTGAAGCTGAGAAGGGTAGTGGACTGGGCCCTTCAGAGCCATCTGGACCCAGCCTTCTCCCTGGGGCGGAGCTGTCTCGGTGCCACGGGGTGTGCACAGGCCCCGTTTGTCAGGCCGAGGGTGCTGCACGGTCCACACAGCACTGCGTTTGCTCCCGCGTTGTCCCGCTGTCTCACTGCCACGTGACGCAGGGCCTGCCACCCCGTCGGCCTGCGCCTGCCGCACTAGGCTGCACCTGCCAGCCCAGGACAGCGCGGAGGACAGGACGGCAGGACCAAGGAAGCTCGCTCTGCCGGGGTGGCCGTGGCCCAGGGCAGGTCCTCCACAGGAGCTCTGGCTGGGCTCATCCCGCCCTCACCGTGGCTGCTGTAGAGCCGTGGCCGCCCTTGGCACGCACTCTCCGGGTGTGGCAGTGCATCACCGAGAGAGGTGGGGGAGCACCGGGCCTCTCGGCATGGCTGAGGCCTGGGCCCCGGAGCCCGACCGAGGGGCCAGAGTTCAAGGTTCTGAGCCCGGGGGAGCGAAGGCGCTTGCAGCCCTGGCCGGGCCGCCTGCTGCCATGTGTGAGTGCCCGCTGGGCTGTTTCTCACCAGACACGTCAGAATGCCAAGTGGCTGACGGTGGAGATGATGCAGGACGGCCACCAGGTGTCTCTGCTGAGTGGGGAGCTGACCGTGGAGCAGCGTGCAGCCATCATTCAGCGGTTTCGGGACGGGAAGGAGAAGGTTCTCATCACCACCAACGTGTGTGCCCGAGGTAGGCGCCGCGTCAGCCCGGCTGTCTGTGTGGCATGGCACTCCGTGAGCGTGCAGGTCAGTGCGTCTCGACCAGCTCCACTGCCAGGCCACCACGTCCAGGACGTGTCCCCTCCCCAGGTGCCTGGTGGCCTGTGAGCCCACCCCTCCCCTCAGTGTGGTCCTGTGGGTCTGAGTCGGCTCCCTTTACGGCAGTGTCCTCCAGGCAGTGGCCCTTCCCCATTGGCAGCTTGGGGCAGTTGTGAGGAACGTGGTTTGAGAGCCCACGTAGGTCCACGGAGACACATGCCCCGTTTCCCCACGAGGGCCTGGGGGTGGGGCAGCTGGCTGTGCCCTCTACAGGGCTGGGCGCTCCATGCTGCCAGGCAGGGCCCGGGCACTGCGCCCTCGCCAGGTCAGCGCCCTCTGGGAACCGTGGACAAGGCCGTGCGGCTCCCCGCGGTTTAGCTCTGCGTTTCCCTGGTAACGATGCTGCTGCACACCTGTGCGGCGTTCCTGCACTGGCACTGGCTACTCCTGGGGAGACCAGCTGGCTGTGTTCCAGAGAAGGGCTGCCCAGCCTCTCTGTGGCCCTGCCTAGACCACTCAGCCCTACAAACGGAGCCAAGCTTGAGGGAGGACTCGATCCTGCCCCTCAGGAGCAGTCGCAGGGGGTGCCCCTCCAGACTTGCTATGGACGGCACCTTCTGCAACGACAGTGCTGCCAGAGCTCACGGGCACGTGGCGTGTGGCAGGACGAGAGGCCGAGGTCAGAGTTTTAACCTCAGTAGTGAGCCGCTTGTGGTGTAGCTGCAGACGGGAGAGGCCAGGGCGCACGAGGGCAGCGAGTCTCCTGGGGAGAGCTAGCTGCTCCTCGGATGCAGACTGGTGGTCTGGGAATGGCCGGGCCCTGCCCCAGGCTTCTGTGTTTGCTCATGAGGGGCGAGACGGTGGGCCGCCCGAGCTGCCACCCCTGTCCTGTGCAGTCTGGCGGCGTGTTCCAAGCACAGGCGCTCCAGGCCGGTAGGGAGCTCTCGGAGCAGATGAGCCAGAGGGTCCCAGGACGGGAGAGCAGCCGCCGTCGGAGGCGTGGCGAGCGGGGACCCAGGGCCCCCAGGACTCAGCAGGGGCAGAGGACCGTGGTCTGCGGGCTTAGTAAGAGCACCTTGCAGCAACTACCACAGGCACACACAAGCTCATGCACACGTGCACATACGTGCCCTGTGTACATGTTTAGACTCCGTGGAAGTCTCCTCTATCGACACCACACATGCATGTATACATGCTGCATACAGGTTTAGACTCTGAAGTTCTCCTCAGTCTACACCATGCACACACACGCCCATGCTCATACGTGCACACACACACTTTGTACATGTTCAGAGGTCTGTAGAATTCGCCTCCACCACCACCACACGTGCACACACGTGCTTTGTACATGTTTGGAATTCACGGACTCCACAGCAGCCTCGGCGTCACGGCCGGCAGCACCGAGCAGGGCTTGGTTTCTGTCCGCTCTAGAAGTCCGCTGTCCCCACCTGCAGCCACGCTGGGCCTGTCCCCAGGACACCCACCCGTCCCCACTCCCAGCTGCTGTGTGTGCCGGGGCTTCTCCGTGGCGGGAGGGTCTCCAGGCTGCGTGGGCACACGTTAGCAAATGGCTGTGTCCCGCACAGACGTCACAGACCCTGTGGTGTCTCTTCGTCCAGGGATTGATGTGAAGCAGGTCACGATCGTGGTGAACTTCAACCTGCCCGTCAGTCGAGCGGAGGAGCCTGACTACGAAACCTACCTCCACCGCATCGGGCGGACGGGGCGCTTCGGGAAAAAGGGCCTCGCCTTCAACATGATCGAGGCGGACAAGCTGCCCCTGCTCATGAAAATCCAGGACCACTTCAGTGAGTGGCACCACAGCTCCGGAGGACGGCAGCTGCATCCCCCGCATCTCAGCGCGTGAGCTGAGGCCGACACAGTGCTACTCGAATCGCTCTTGCTCTTTTAATGTGGGGTCTCCGGGCAGGCAGCCCGGCCTCTGGAGGGGAGGGTGTGTGCCCCAGAGTGGGTGTGGTGGGAGCGGGGGAGGGGGCACGTCCCCTGGGAGGGTGGTTCTGCCCTTCACTGAGAGCATGGGCACTGCCCAGGGGACGGCAGAGGAAGGACGGTGCAGCGTGGACAGTACCAGACGTGCAGAGGTGGCACAGTGCCTCTGGCCCTGGAGGGGCACCAGGAAGTGTCCCGTGTCGGGCTGACGGCGCGGGGCGAGGGCAGGAAGGCCACTGTCTTGGCAGGGACCCAGCAGCGGGGCCCAGCCCTCCCCACTGTCCTCGTGGTCACTCTGCCCTTCCCGTCCAGGGTCTGGACCACCCTGATGGGCTAGGTGCACGGTGCTGTCTTGGTGGGAGTTGGCCAGCCTGCCAGAACCGTCCCTCAAGGCGTCCCGTACAAAGTGTCACTGCCCTCAGAGTGTCGGTGCCACAGGCCGAGGGCACATGACCCTGTGTGAGGACGGCCCCCTCTCGCCCTGCAGACAGCAGCATTAAGCAGCTCGACCCTGAAGACATGGATGAAATCGAAAAGATCGAATGTTGAGGAGCGGATCTTCCCTGTGCGGGGTGTCCTGGTTCGTGGGAACGCCCAGTGGGTTTGGAGGGTAGACTACACGGAGACTTTCACCGCGACCACGCGGGGCGGACGTGTGCGCTGTGAGGATCCGAGGTCTCCTGAAACCAAATTCACGTGAAGTGTGTGATCCTTTTGAATAAAAAAAGCAAAATGATTTCTTTTTCCTTTCCTTTTTCTTTTCCTCCTTTTCTTTTTTATCAGAGGGTGCCTGCAGTCACCAGAGTGAGTGAGAAAGCATCCCCCGGGGGCTGGCCACGCTGCAGCCCCGCCCATTCTCCTCTTGGCATTTGGGCACACGTGCACACGCACGCACGTTTTCCTAGCCTGTAGACCAGCACGCCACCTGCAGGCCCACACGGTCTGTCTCCCAGGACACCGCGCCCTGAAGGCCTGGGCTGTTCGGGTTGACTGTCCCATCCAGAGCAGGCTGTGCGGGAGCGCCTGCGGCCACCAGGTGGCAGCAGAGCCTCGCGGGCATTGGAATCACCCGCAGATGCTGGCCAGCGCTCTTCCCCAGGGCAGCCCGACCTGGTGGCAGAAGTGCAGGGGTGGGCCAAAACCACCGGGAGCGCCCTGCGGGAACGCCGTTCTGTTTGCATCTTGCTTTTTCTGCCTCTGAACATTCGGCTTCGTTACAGGCAGTTCTCAGGCAGGAGTGGGGCGGAAACCTGCCTCGAGGGGGCGCCTGGGTGTGGGGCAGGGTAGAAGGCCGGGGCACCTCGGGGCCCTAAGGGTTGGGAGTCCTGGATGTCGTCCTGCAGGCCCATCGGGATGCTGTTTATTTCTTAGAGTCGCTGACCCGAAGTGGACCCTCAGGGCGCCGGGCAGATGGCCCCAGGGGGCTAGTGGGGTGAGGCTCCGCCCCGTGGCACACTGTGGTGCTGGGGGCAGCTGCTGCTTCCTGACCAACCTCGGTCAGAAAAGGCACACGTGAGCCTGGCAGGGACCAGGTGGCTGAGGTGTTGACCCCACATGGCCGACAGCGCGGTCTGAGTCTCGGACCTGGGGCTTCAAAAATAAGCCAGGCGCATGTGTGTTCCCAAATCCTGAGAGGAGCCTGGGGAGAAGGGATTGTGGCGGCCACCCCCCGGGGAGCGAGCGTTCATGTCCCTCTCCGTCTCTCCGGGGGCTCATGCTCCCTATGGCAAAATCAGACACCAGCAGGGAAAGGGCTTGTGTGCTGAGCCTGTCTGGACCCACGAGAGGGTGAGCCTGGCCTGGTCCAGAAAACCCACCCGAAGCAGCTTCCACAGCCCTCGACCTCTCGGCCTGTCTTGGGGTGACGACGTGAAGGGAAAGGGGGGTTCACAGGAGAGGGAGACGGCGTTCCTGGGACCCTCGGCCGGGAGAGGCCCTGACAGCACCTTGCTGGCAGCTCAGACCCAAAGCCTGTAGCCTGGCTGAGCCCGGGGTGCGGGCGGGGGTGGTGGGCGCAGCTGCCAGGACACCCCCCACCCCGTGCTTCCAAGGCCCTCCAGCTTCCAGTGCGTTCCCGTGGCGCCGTGGTCCCACAGGCCTCTCTGGCCCTGCCCTCCCTGATTGACCTCAGGCAGCCCTTGAGTAGCAGAGCTCAGCACGAGGCTGGGACAGGAAGCCTGTCTGGCGTCCCCGTGGGTCCAGGTGGGTACCCAGACCCAGGCCGGGCTCCACTGTGACAGGAGCGAGACCCTTGGCAGGCTGGGGCTGCCTCCTACCCTGGAGACTTCCTGCACCCCCGTCTGCCCTGTGCACCCCCTTCCTTGGGCCATGACCAGAGGGAGGAGGGAAGGTGTGTCCAGGGTGGGGCCTTGAGCTATGAGAGCTACACTCTTCCTGGTGTCGGCAGGCCCTCGACTGACGGCCGTGGAGCCGGGAAGCTGTGCTGGTGTGAGGGAATGGGGAACGGCCCTCAGGGAGCCCAGGCCTCTTGGACAGCCCTTTCGTGCCTGAGGAGCCAAGGCAGGACCTCAGGCCTGTCAGAGCCGGGGGCCCGGCGCCCCGCCTGGGCACTGTCCACAGCTCCACCACCCTCACCTCCACATCCCTGCCAGGCTGCATGTGCCCATGAGTCTATCAAATACACTCCATGTCAACCCCAGTGCCTCCTGCCCCCAATGCCCGGGTCCCTGATCTCAGACCCCCTCCACCATCGCACCTGCTGCTCACACCGGAGCCATGGCCCTCTCACGTTGCCCTGGCACATGGGAGCAAGGGCATGCCACTCCTCTGCCCACCACGAGGGCCATGGTCACGGGCCCCTGGTTTGCTCAGGAGCCTGGTTTGGCCAACAACCCACAGGGCCGGGCAGCCTGTGAG